TATAAGAAACGGGTGGGAAAAGAAAATTTTGAAGCTTTTTTTCGCTGTTTTTTACAATGAAAAATTTGCATACAATTTAATGATTAAAAAGTTATGAATATTTAAAAAAAAATTGAATCTGAAACGAGCCTTAGAATATTTATTCAACAAAAATAAAATTCATCATTAGCATATTTACAATATTTGTTACTAATTATTATATGACGATGGAATATAATTATTAAAAGCATTATAATATATCTTCGGCAACACAAAGCACGTTTTTGATCAGATGGTATTGATTAATAGCTATTTTGGGTGCATTATTACCATGGCCCATACACTCGATCAGAGGTCGACGCCGCATCACAAAAGAGAGGATAAATGCCAATCAAAATTTGCATTTGAATAGACGCCCACATTGGTGGAGATTTGCTAAATGACATTATCGGAAAAATTTCATTGTCATTGGCACCAACGATCAAAATACAGACATGCCGTTGCTACAAGTGAAAGAAAAATTGGCCAGACAGACGCAATTCCCTTTTTGCAAATTGAGTGATGTATTTTTTATACACTCTATTTTCGGAACGATTTCCCATTTAAGAATTTTCATATTTTTAGGAAAAGATTAGATATTTGTGTAGTTCTTTATTCTAAATATTAAAGTCTAGACTTCCTTAAGGTCATGGGAAGGACAAATTTTACAGCTGACTTTATCCCTTTTAACGTCCCTTTATATTTAAGTGCATCCATTAAGTTTTCTTGCGGTTTTTAGCACTTCTCATTGAACGTTGCTAAAAACCTTCACTTTCATTCGTGTGGATTCTTCGAACGCTCTTCTGCGTGTGTCTGGTGGCCATAGCAATTAAGCTTGGAATTGGCTGAGTGAAAATTAAGCCAGAGCGCGCCGCATTTCGCATTTTGTCCGCGTCAAAGTGACGTCTTAATAAACTTAAAAGCCATATCTGGTTTAAGGCATAGTAAATCAATTAGGCGCTTTCCGTGCCGTGGCCTCTGGGAAAAAGGAGCAAAATAGACGGCGCGGTGCAAAATTGAATAAAAAGAGCCAAGTCTTCCAAGAAACAGTGAACACTCTTCTTTCGCATCGTGCATGATGATGACGACGGAATTAGAGGCTCGGGGCTGAAAATGCTACTCAAGAGAGCGAATTTTGTGGGCCAACGAACACGCTCCTTTTTTCATGTTGATTTTTTCGTGTTTGTGAAGGAAGAGGAACACGAGATAGCGCGACGATAATTTGACTCTAATTTGTATACTAATAGCGAATGTTTATCTTGCACTATGTTTCTAGTTCGTGACGGGAGGCCTTCTTTTTTTACTTATACGACTTATACATGTGTGCTCTTGCCAAGTTAATGCTAAACGGCCAAATTTATAGGTCCTAGTTTTGGTTATAAATCGCGAGGAGGTTTACAAATAAATTAATTATTCAGATTTTTCTTCGACCTTTTTTTAAATTTTCTCACTCTATGAAAGTCAAAAGTGTTATCCAATCATCACAATTACTGTATAAATAATTGATTATCCATTATTACTTCAAATAAACTCTCAATTATCTTAATTATTTTTATTCATGACTTCAAAAGCAGATCGGAATTCCATGAAAATATTTATAATCCTATCGTACGAAACAGTGGTTCATTAATAAAGGGCTATTATTTCCCATCAAATTTCCTATTTTCAATTAAAACAGATTTTACTCATTTGGTAGGAGTTAAAATTTAAAATGCTATTGCTATAGCAAATTAAATTTTGTGGTCTTTTAAATTCAAGGATAAAAATCATTACTCGAGAGGGCCTTTAAGGTCTTCCTATAATTTTAAATAACTTAAAAGCAGGTTTTTACGCCTTTAAAAAAAGTGTCTCTCGAATATTTAAATTTTTTTTTTTAATCCACCAAAGAGCGTCTAGGTCAATAAATACGCCAAAATTCATCGTCTGAGTACAGTTATGAGCCATAAATAAACCAGCCTGCTTTTACTTATTACAATCCTCTTCCGTTACATCTCATAATTACAAACGGGTGACCTTGCGAAATGTGGCGAACATCGCAGCCAGCATCTCGCGAGAGTACCTACTTCGCAGCAAGGACTTCTCCTTTTTTATCCGCCGATTTTGTTTGTTGTCTGAAGCAAGCCGTGGGACAGAAGTGACAGCCGAGATGGATGGACTGCAGCCAGCGATTCTCGGCCCCAACTTATTTAGACTTATCTGCTGCTATGCTTTCTTCTTTCTCCGTCGGTTTTTTTTTCTCAACAACGCCTCCAGTTTGCTCTCTTTTTGTGTCGCGATTTGACGCGTGACATTTCCTCCGGCAGCTTGATTAATCTGTTCACTTAGCTTGCTCGGCAGAGTTAAATGTTGTGACGTGTCCCTCGCCTGCAATTATTGCGCCGCCCGACAAATGGCTGCGGATAGAAACAAGTACCAAAAACGTCTATATTTACTTATAAGCAGAGAGAGCGAGCGATGTTCGCGGAAATTGAATTATCCACTTGACGTGCAGCTGCGTCCATCAGCCCCTTTAATGTTCTAATTAGGTCGGACATGGTTGTGTTTGTTTATATCGGCATAGAGATGGGCACGCGCTAGCTAATTATGGTACGGTGCTCGTTTCCTATTTGTTTGCATTGCTGCTGACCGCGTTGGAATTATATACACAGGACGGCTGGCTGGGTCGAATTTGTATGTAATTTTTCCCATTCCGAATCGCTTTGACTTGGATGATACCACCAGGTTGGCTGCAGGGGTGGGAAATTGCGCTAGAAGATTAATTATCGTGTTTACGCCTGAAACCATGAAAGCGCTGATTCAATTTCAATTGTGTGACCTCGTTTATGGTGCAATTCAATGCGCAAATCGAGGATTAGCCTTTTGAATAGGACTGATATTAGAGCTTAATACATGTTTGGTTGAGTAATTTTATCTGGCAATTTGTGGATGTGTTACAACATGAACATTTATTTCAAATATGTATTTCAATACATTAGCTCCTCATTCACATTCTAACAAAAGATTAATTCATCAAATCTCAAAAACTTGAAATTGTTAACCTAGTAAATTTGTAACAATGTGGACAAATAAACAACTAAAATATTTTAATTTTATTGATTTTAAATTTTACTAGATTCCCTTTTAGTAAAGAGAAAGAGACTAATTGTCACCTTAATTTAATTTTCGTTGGATTTTATTCATATATTGTGGCAATTGATTAATATTTTTTTGTATAATCATCGTTTTTTAACTTTACTAAAGTACTAATTTGTGTATTATGAACTTCTGTTCTGCACATTACCAAGCAAAATAACTTCCATAATTTTTCTGTGAAATAAATCTTAACATTGGCTTTCATGTCTGATTTAATAATTCTAATCAACGCCAAACTAATTATTTATCATTATTACAGCCTCTTGCAACAATGCAAAGGAGCAGACAGCGCTGCTCTCTGATTGAAAAACGCATCCTCATCTCGGCAATATTTCTTTCTGCACTTATATTTCCGCCACCGCCGGCAAGTGCAAGCACAATGGACTGTAAAACGCGCTTGATTGTCAGGCGCTCCTGTTGATATTAAGAGGCCAAAGAAGATAATTTCAAAGAAGCAGCGAGTGAGCTCGGAGGCGTGCAATTCTCATCCACAGGCCAAGGTTAAATTATTTGCAGAGAGAACATAACTGCCAATCTACAGCAATATTCCGCTTGTAATTACTCTTCTTTGAATTCAGCACACAATATGTGGTGTGCGGTGAGAGCAGCCAGGAAAATGTGCGAGTTTTCCGTATGTGAACACCAAAGAAGCTCTTCAGGTGCGTTTCGTGAAATGGAAAGTTACTTCATTCGTGACATTGAATTTAGCTCATTCCAAATCTATTAATTGCTTTTTTAACTTTAAACTGTGAAAAAAGTAATTACAAGACCTCAAAAAATTCTTACTTTATTAAATAATATCAAAAAAAAAAAAAAAAAAAAAAAAAACTAAACATTGCTTTCAAAGTTGGCACATAAACCTATTTGTGGCCTCCAGAAGATGATTATTTTGAAAACTGAATTTAAAAAATTAATTTATTTTACTTTTTCAATCATTGAAAATTTGATAATGATAGAATTATAACTGGAATTATAGACTTTATAACTGGCATTCAAATTTTTTTGCAATTTATTATTTTGAGAAGCTCAAATTTTCTTTAATTTTATATTTTCTTTCCGCAGAACATGCTTAATAAGCTTCAATTAATTTCAGAAAACGTCAAAAGCAAACCTTGAAATGAGAATTCTGCTTAAACTCCGACCACACAAGTCGCTTTTGAGCCAATTCCACCTTTTGACCTTTCATTTCAATCGCACCAGCGTTCAATTGGCCGAGGGGGAGAAAATTTTGACTCGATCGCGCGTGTGAACGGAACAATTGAACGGCGTTCGTTTGCTTTTAACCCCAACTAAACGAGGTTAATCACAGAGCAGCCGCAGCAAAATCACTTTTGTGTCGCGAGAACCCTAACAAAGCAGCCGTTCGCGCTCTTGAACGTTTTAAACTAAACATCTCTGTATTCAAACCCGTTGTGGCGCAGCGCCGGCAATTACCATATTAATTAGCGGCGTCATTGTCAGGCCCTTTTGTCGTCATGCGCCAGATTTTCCATAATTTAATGAGATGTGGGATTATCCTGCGGTGCATGCACCGATCTCATTGTCCTCTATCTAAATGCACAAAAGCGGTAGTCGTTTTTAGCCAGCCAGTTTTTTTTATTCGAAGGGGAAAATCGAGTGTGGCAGTGACAAGACGAAAAGGGCCCTGTCAAGAGGCACCAATGGAAAGATCACTCACGCACATCAATCGGAAACAGTACGTCTCAATAAGTCCTCTTCAAATAATAAAACATCAAGTTTGTCGTTCTCCCACCCTCAGTCGATATATGTGCTGAATGTGCCGAGCTCGATAAATTTGCATCCTGCCAGCCGTGCCGAGAACAGAAGAGAGTCTGCACGCAGTGTTGCTCCAAGTGATGCTGCAGCCGGATACATTTTTATTTTCCTCGAGTGCCGGACGATTTTGCTCCCAGCCAACAACTGGTTGAGTGTTTCAGAATGCCTTTATTTTCCTCGCCAATCGCATCCATTTTCCTGGTTGCATGAGTACGCTGAATTTGTTTTTTCCTCTAAAGGTTTCTGTTCATAATCCAGATAAACAAAAATTTCCTTATGAAATTCCCGAGTAATTCTGAGTCACTTCATTTACTAGCGTCATCATAGTAAAATAATCATAATCCGATTCACAGAAATCAAATTTTTCAAATTTTTATTTTGTAAGTTCTAGATTCATAAAAATATTTTTTTGCATTTAATTAACAATTTAAATAAAATAAATTTAATCTGGGGTTTTCCATTTGAAATGGTGAAAGTGTATACTTTTTTTCTAAAAAAGGCTCATATGGTTTCAGGTCAAGCCCTTTAATTGCAAAAAAATTTGCACTCAATTTAAAATAGAGTACCAAAAGAGTTTCGAAATCCATATATGTTTTTGGTTTATTGTAAGAAACAAAATGATTTTTCTCTAAAATTATTTTGAATTTACTTTTTACAGAATGAGTTATGCAGCAAAAAGAAGTCTAGTTCCTCCTCACTCTTTATAATTAGCCCTGATAAATAATATTCCTCTTTTGTAGACTAACAAATGTTGCAAACCTTTTTAAACATTAACTTTAATTTTCTGCTCCTCAAAATAGAAAACAGAGTTAACAAATCAAAGCATCTATTCTCTTCATTTTGAATTGGTTGTATCAATTGAGTTTTACATTTCGCCAAGTGCCAATGAGTTTTGGATTCCGTTGCCTTTTAATTCTGACTGACATCCCTTGACATGCACTTCAATTAGCAATACACGCAGGAGAGGAGCTCTCTCGGCGGCACTCGGGCCGTTTGGACCGGTGGTGAAAAGGTCAAAATCAACACACAGACACTTCCTGCGTGCATTAAATCAAGCAGAAACAAGGGCCACTTAGCGCGCGCCTTTCATTAACTGTCACAAAGGCATAACTGCAACAATAAAACATATATAAATTCGAGGGCAGACGGCATTTTCTCTCCCCTCGCCGGGAAATAAAACGCACACAGCGAATTGCCTCCGCCGCAGCAGCCGATTATTCTCTATGCGAAAAGCAAGGGGCTGCAGAATAAAAATTGAATTATGGGCCCATTCACACTCGCTCCCAGACACATACAAACGATCTAAATACACACACACACATGGTCGACTAAACTGTTTTCCTTCCCTCGCCGGCAATCAATTATATCGCAACGCAAACCGCGCGCGGAAAAATATTTTCACGGCGCCTACATCAACGCGTGGAAATTCCGCATTGGTGTCATGTTTCGCTCTATACGCGATATGCATCGAAAATAACCGAGCGAATTTTTGTTTTATTGATGTGGATCGATTCCATTTATGTCGATAGGAAAAATCTTTTGATTTTCTGTTGTTAAGAAACTTCTGATTGTGAACAAATTGATAAGTAATAATATTGGGTGTCAGCAAACGTGAAAATTAAATTAATTGACAATGAAATTGTAAAATTTTAGCTCGTTTTCTATTAAAATAAGTCAAACACAGATATTTATCGATTTGAAACAATTTTTCAATGAAACTTTTCTTTAATTTGAAAATATTTGCGCTCAGGACACATTGAATTGCTATTTTCATTCAATTTTATCACTGAGATTTGCTTTTGAAAATTTTCAGTTTGAATGGTCATTAAAAATGTGTATTGATTTTTTGCCTCACATTTTTATTTGCATTGATTTGTATTTTTTTTTACTCATTAAAGTAGCATTTTAATGTCAATTTAATGAGCAACCGGTTTTCTGTTTTAAAGAAAAACTTTTTACCATATCCAATCTGAGGTTTATTTTAAACCCACAAGAAAACTCTTTAGCCCCTTTTATAGTGGCCGAGTAATTAAAACCACTTACGCCAAGTAATTGGCGAGTACACGAAGATACAATTTATGCGAAAATTTTCAAGTAGGGGCCGAGCAGCTCCTCCATCAGAGGCCGACGTTCGGTGGAATATTAAATAAAGAGGCGAGCGAGCGACCGCGGTGCAGGCCTCGCGAAAATCCTTTTTGCATAATAAATTTCCAATAATCTCACGTGCTTTGAATTTCCGAGCGACCTCACTGACGCTGGCTCGAACTTTCCTCAGATTTTATATAAATTCAAGCAAGTTTTAATAAGCACTCTTGTGTTGATAGAACGGCGAAAATGCGCAACAGTGTATTTTTTTTTATTCATTCAACACTGTCGGCGTTTATTAGACGCGGTTTTATTGACTTTTGGGAGAGACTTTTCACTTTTATTTAATGAGTCTTTTTTAATATCCGCGCGACTCTGTCTATATAGCGCCATAACAAACAAACGCTGCCACATAAAAAAACATTTTAAATTAAAAATTTTCACGAGCGACGAGAACGCAGCGATTCTCACACCTCTCCGCGCCTGGCAAAATATTATTCCACGAGTTTTTGTCCGTTTGATTGGCAGGTGATGCGCGCTGGAAATTGTTTGCCCGCACGCCGAATTTTTACACACTCTCTTGTGTATAAAACGAGAGAGACGTGGTGGTATAATAATCGCTTTCCACAAGGGACTTGCTTGCCTTGAATATTTACCTACAAGAACCCAAAGCGCGCCAACGAGACTTCTTTTTTTAGCGTGCGTTAAATTTGCATGAGCACTGACCTTTATCAAGTACCTGCTCGACGTCTTACACACGTCCGAAGCGGAATCGAAAAGAATGTGGCCGCATGTTTCAAGTTGATTTATGCTTTTATGATTGCTTTTTATTCATTCCTATCTGCGTGCTGTTCAAAGAGACTTAATTTGCAAGTTCAGCAAAATCCATGATCTTTATTGAAATTTTATTATTCATCGATCATAATTGAAGAGTAATTTTAAATTTGAATTATTATTTAAAATTTTAATTGACATTGAAGAATGTATTTTTGAACAGCATAAAGATGTGCAACTTTTCCTACACGCTTATGGATGGCAAGCAAATTTTAGATATAAATTTTAGATCATTAGTTAATCCGCTTGGAGGATTGGTAATTAGGCAAATTAGAAAAAGCTTTCGCTACCCAATTTTTTTGCTACTAATCACGTGTGTGCTCTATCGAATAATGTATCCCATGACCATGGACTGAGAATATTAGCAAAGCGCATAAAATCCCCTAGTGTATTTTGGCTAACAACTCTCATCAAAATGGGAATAATCTCTAAAGGCTTCAAAATTTTAATCAACTGGGTTTTTTCTTCCTACAAATTGCTCAAAATCATCAAATTAATACAAAAATCGTCCAAGCTTGAGCTAAAAAACGTAATTAATAACCGGCCCAAACCGACTAAACGGGCAAAAAAAAATTCTGGTAATCAGCAAATAATTAAAATTATTAGTAAACCGTAAAATGAACATAGTAATTACAAAAAATTGGCTAAAGCGTCAATTGTATAATTTTAGATTAAAATAAAACCAGCTTAAGAAGTCAATTGAAACTCAATTATTAGAAAATTCGCTTCTTTGCTTAAAGTCGTACTATAATTTTCAGTCTAAATAATCAATGTAAATAATTAAAAAAAAATCTCAACGCTTAACAATCCACATTCTTTTTGTAAGTCTTCAGAGAACAGTGTGCCAACCACATTATTAAGAATAAAAGTTCAATATAAAAATTCCTTTGATGTAAAATTTAATTAGATATTTATTTTTTCTATGGCTTATTGTCAATATAAATTCATCAGCCTTTTGATACTTTTTGTAATGCTTCTCAAGTCTGCGAAGGTGAAGCTGCTTGCGCGCAAAAAGTTTTTCAAGGCCGCGTTTGAGTATAAAAAAGCCACACGTTGATTTAATGAGCAACTTACAGTAATTTTCTTCGCTGGATCTTCTTCCTTTCGTACGAAAAAGGAGTCCGAGTTTTTTTACACGCAAATGGAGGCAGCGTCTCCAAGTCTGCCAATTAATAAAGCTTTCCATCTAACTGGATTTTCCTAATGGAATTTTGACAGATTCACTCTGCGACGCGCCGAGTATGTGTTCGCGACGAGCTACCGTCTCCGCTGTTATTATACGGCCCGGCTTGTGCAAATCATTTGTCAGCGAAATAAGAAACCTGTCCTGTAAAAAAGGAGCGCAAATTAAATGTCGCGGAAGCAAGCGCGGCGTTGAGAGAACGAACCTCTATTATTATGCCAAGATAATACACACAATGTGCTGACTTATTGGGTAATTAGCTTTAACCTCGCTGCCGCTTTTTGCCGTCGAGCTTGCGCGATCACCCATGCAAATGTATTCAATCTGCAGCACATGTGGCCGCGCGCAACAAAACTTTGCCACCGCCTGTGTATATATTTTCAGCCGGGGATATATATTCAAAATTTTGATTCGCGCCGCAACCGCTTTTTGTTTATGCATTATGGATAGAGCAGAGAGGGAGTTTTGATAGCTTATTCCGCCGGCTGCTCTGAAAATTTGACGGACCACGTCCGCGGGCGGGCCCGAGAGTAAAATTGGAAAAGTTTGCATATTTAATGAGCAAAGAGCGCGGCAGCGGCCGCTGGTCGACCCATTAACTATTTCCCAGTTCGAAATTATTGATTGGATCTGGGAATGTTCGGACTTCGGATGAGGCGCAAAATGGAAAACGCTGCAGAGTTAATGAAAATTAATACATGGGTAAATATGTAAAAGCTGTAAAATCTGAAAATTAACGGTACATCTGCATAAAATTTAGATTAATAGCCTAACTAATGCCGTGAAATTGGTCATTCATTAAAAACTGGAATAGATTTTTTTGCATAAATATTAAACTTTTTTTAGTGATAAAATTGTTATGATAAATAGGTACAAGGTTTATTTTAATTTAAATTTACATTGCTAACTCATACATAACAGAACTTGTAGACTAAATTTTTCAAATTTATATTATAAATTCAAAATTATCTGAATTTGTTTTAGCAATAACAAAACCTATAAAGTCACTTTTTCCATAAAAAAAAAAAAAAAATGTTAAATAGAAAAAATAAATACCCTTTTGCATCAATTTAGTGGTACAGATTATATAATTTGCTGGAATTTTTTACCAAGAAAAGTCAACATTTTGTCAGCAAAACTTCCATATGAATGTAGAGCTCAAAACTCTTGTATAAATGCGTATCTGATTGAGAAGCTAATTGTGTTTGTCACAGTGAAAAGTGATACTTAACTATCACAAATTGCGATCTCATATATCCAAGCCCACAACAATTAATATTGCGCAGGCTCTAATCTCGTTCCCTTTTTAACTGTTTCAAAATAAAACACCAAAATCCTTCCTCAAATTGGATGAACGGAATTAAAAAAGAAGAGGAAAACACGGACCGTAAAATGCTTTAGGCGCGCATGTTGGCAAATTTTCGGGACGTGTGGGCGCTGAAGAGTAATCCAGCTTCAAGCCTGTAAGAGTGTGTGCCGTTTTGGTGCGAAAGGCGCGGCTGGAAATTTAATTAAATTTCTTCCGCGCGCCCTGGGTATTTACAAACAAATGGGAATGTGCGTATCCTGATGAAGGCGACGCGATAAAGGCAATAACTCATACTTATCTTTTCATCTACAGGCCTCACTTTTCCAGCGGCGCACTCTCATTTTATATGAGACTAATTTTTTCCATTTTGCCTTTTGTGGTGAATAAAAAATCTTTTCATAATTCCTTTGAAGGAAATACATATTTTTTACAGAAATGTTATTCCCACAGTCGCATACACGAAAAAGGTAAAAAAAGAAAGACACGTTGGTGGAATTAAAAGCAAATTTCGTGTGTAATCGAAACTTTTTCGTTCAAAAGTTGGCGCGATGTCTGCGAAGAAGTCGGACGGACTTTCTTCTTCTTCGGATGGAAAAGTTGCTGGCGACTATCGGGTGTTGTCAACCCTTGCTTCCATGACGCCGGGCAATAAAGAACGTGTTTTTTATTTACTTTTAATTAATGGTCGGCGGCAGGTAAGTCCCCGCCGCGTGCGTCCTTATTTCCAAATTGCCATTCCGAAAGGGCCGCTTTATATATTTTAAGACAATAATAGAGGCATTGCGTGATGTCACCTTTCTCCGAGGCGAAATTACGCGGTCGCCGTGTGCATGCTGTTGCTGCGTGGAAAGAGCGAGAAAAAAACGACTATATAGCAGCCTGGATAAAGTCATTAAGGTCCACTTTAAAACGAAAACAAAAGCCGCACTCTCAGCGTCTCGTTAGCTCCCGAAAGACTTTAATGAGCCCCAATAAAGCGATTATTTGTCCCTTGCGTTATGGGGCATGCATCGATTTTCCTCTGCATTTTTCCTTTCTCTCTCTCCATTGAATTTAATTTATTAGTAGTAAAAATTATTTATCTGTAAAACATTCTCGCGCGCAGATAAAACGGCCGCACGCGAGGAAATTGATATTCTTGGCCTGCCAGCAATTTATTGGGCTCGAGAAATAGCATAAATCTTCGTTTCGCTATCAGAACTTACAATTAATGTGCGGTTTACAGACCGTTTTGGGCCAACTACTGGAAATGAACGAGCACCTTTTATATTTCCACTGTATTTTTATTGTTGGCGTGCAACCGAGAGAAGTAGAATTTTTTAAGTGAATTAAAAATAAAATACTGAAAGTATGGCCATGAACGTGAATTTTCTACCAGAGTGTGCTTGAAAATCATGCTGGTGCGATATACGTGGGCTGTGAGGGCAAACAACTTAAGTCCTCCTTATCCTTAAACACTGAACTGTTTGTGCATAAAACATAGGAGGAGAATCGTGACTTCACAAATTCTTTGTTTGTGTTTTCTCCGAGTATTAAAAATGAAAAATATCATTAGTGTGGGCAAATAATTATATCATTATTATAGACTGGCGGAAAGAAGGTCTTCTGGCTAGACTTAATTCTCTTAAAACTCATTCTGACAATCTTCTTCTAAATTGCGTGTCTTGTGAAAAAAACTTTTATAATTTTTTACAAAAAAAAATGGAACTTTTTTTAATATTGATAGGAAATTTCAAAAAAGTATAATTCCCAGTCTATTTAAATACTTTTTTTTACAATAAAATCATTTTGCATAATTTTATAGATATTTGAAGTACAAAAATGGTTTTTTTATGAAAAGATCGAAGGGCATTTCATTGATATAATAGTGATATTTTTAATAAATATTTGACGAGAGTTAAAAAATATCCTTTTTTCCCGCTAATCCCCTCATTATTCAAATTCTTCAAAATCTGAAGAGTGATAAAACAAACAATTTGTTACACATGGCCTTTATGAGTACCTCAATGTTTGATTTATTATTTAATCATTCTTCGGTGAGTAAATGTCTCAAGCCGCTTAAGTGTCGAGTAAATTACAAGTTCGGCGCTCGGGATTAGCATAATCACGAGCCTGACTGGCATCAGGTGTGTCTCAGCTCCTTATTTTTTTTAATAAAATCAGCTCGACGAAAGGTGTGGTGTCAAAAGCTTTGACTCTTTCGCAGATAGAAGCCAGAAGCATGTATCAAAAGCACCTGCAGCTCTCACACGCTTCGCATCAAATTCTCATCAAAAAAGAGATTATGAGTTTAATCAGCTGCCGAGAGTGCTGCTTTCTTTGCATCTTCACCGTAATAGATTGAATCTTGTAAAAAAACTACTTCTCCATTCGCAGCAGGCACTCCTCCTGAGAAAAATTCCTGGAGGAAATAAAAATAAAATTAAAAATTGCTTCCGAGCCGCTGGTCTTCGGAGAGGAGTGCTGCTCATTAAACGCTGATTCAGTTGGAAACATACTTTTCCTATCTAATGGTCACGACGACGGCGTTATCTACAGAATAAAAAAGTAGCAGCGCAGCGTTGAAAATCGACCCGCTGTCTGTCAAGCATGGAGAATACATTTATGATAAATTGATTTATGTATTTTTTCCCTCAATGCTTGAATATTAATTAGCCGTGTTGGCGCTTCAATCACGAGCGTGTACGCACCAAATCCATTTGACGTAAATGGCTTTCTGATAAAATATAAAATGCTAATGATCCAGCCCGAAACAGAATTTAATCCCCAGCGAGACAATCAAAGCGAAAATTAAAACGGATTTGCTCATTATTCTTTCACAAAATAATAATAATAGAATTTTGTTAAAAATCACAATTTGAGATAAACTCGGAGAGCATAATTATGTATGTAGACATGAACCTTCACATAAAAACACTTACAACATAAAGGGATTGAGAGGTTATATGCTTTAAAGTTAGTTAATTCAATATCAAAAATGGCAATTTTGGATTGTGAAGAAAATGTGGAAAATTATTGCATCAAAGTGTAACGCAAATGGATCATGGACCACTTTTGAGAGATACATATTTTGAACAAATTTTTGAAAAAGTTAAGATTTATGCATTAAATAAAATATTGTTTTTTATAATTTTACGTCTTACATAAATAATTTCAGTTTATTAATAATCTTCAAATTCTCTAAATAGTATAGGCAAGTGCCCAAAATAAATCATTGGGGAAAAGATTACAATAAACTTGGCCACGATGTTGTCTGGCGTTTCAAAGCATATTTCTCCGATTCAATGGATACATTTTTTTACGAACTAGTTTGTGAGATATTAACGAATTGTGAGATGAGATTTAGATTCCTAATGAAAAAGAGAATCACGGGAGTTATATGGATTTTTTTTTAATAAATTTTTTTTTTTTTGAGGATTTTTGGTTAAGATTCTAGTTTTAGCAACATATTTCTTGCAATTAAAAGAGCAGAATTTATTAAAAATTCAAATACGGACAGCCAATTCGAAAATTATAATCAAGCTCCTCCATTCCTGTTCAAAAACAGGAATTTTTGAAAATTTCGTTTCATTTAAAAATCCTCTATGATTCCTACATATTTATCTATCTTACTATTTACCTAATTGTTAGACATTAATTCCTAATCTTTTGAAAAGGTACGAAGAATATAAATTTCAAAGTGTTTCGACCTCCGCGAAGAAACGCTCCCACATTCCTGTCAAATAATTAATAGTTGCGCGTCTCTGCATCTCGCTTCAGGTACTTAATGAAACAACAAAAAGAGGGCCCAACTTTGGTCATACAAAAAAAAAAAAGATGCTCAACGCGCACTTCAAAGGATGTACTCACTTGGCTTGTCGACCTCGCTGAGTTCGTCCATCGACGGCTGGGCGCGCGAAAACTTGGTCACCAAAAAAAGCACCACGACGAGCACACGCGTGTCGAACGCCATGTGTCACACTGTTTGTCTCGGTACTATTTTTTTCTTCCAAATTTGAAAAAAAAAATCAAAACTTTAGCACGGGGGGCAGTTCTGCTGGCATGGTCCGATCGGCGGAAACTACTCGACTCGTGTGAGAAACACCACCGGCCGGCGGCACGCGGGATGCGGAGCTCCTCTTGACGCGAGCACAGTCCGAACGCGACTGACGAGGAGTGCGCGGCGCGCCACCGGCGGGCCCGTCTTGCCGGCCGACGAGGGCGCCGCTCGATACAAACTTCTCCAGATACATGCACGCGCCGCTCAACGACACACCGGCCCTCTTTATCTGCACATTTAATTTGCAATTTGCATAATAAGCCGCGTGCAAAATATGCAGGGTGAATGACACTCGCCCCTTTGAACTTGCCACGAATTAATGCACTTGAATAACAGTTCATGAGATTTTTGCACATTTTTGGAGTATGCAAATTTTTATGGACTTTTTTGGCAAACAAATCTTTATACAGCATATACGTAAAAAATTGTAATTAACCCGTGTCAAAGGAATGAAAATTTAGCCAGCGCTATATAATCATATCAGCTGCATTATTTAAAGGTCGAAAAAATGCTTCTTATAGCTTTTTAAATTTTGACCAATATGAACAATTTTCTTGGATCATAATTCTACGAGGATCGTGAAAATGAGAGTAAAATTGCAATCTAAAGCGTACACAAAAGTCTGTGTTCAATTGAATTTGAGTTTGAATTCATTGATTTATTTTCAAATAGACCTTTTCAAGTGATCAGGAAAATTTAATATAAATATTTATCTTTGACATTTCCCAGCTCCTAAGAAATCTCCAGCTTATCTTTTTTATCTGTATAGTTAAATTTAGTTTGCGACACAAACTTTATCAATTTTAAAAATATATATTTATAAAAATGAAAAAAAAATCATGTTTTCACCCACCAAGTTCAAAATAATAATATAATAGATTAAAAAAACTAAACAAAAAACACTCACCATATTGAAGGTCTTGATCAGGGTGACTTCCTGATGTCTACCTTGCTGAAGATAATGGAGTTTCCTATTAGGGGCTGTCTTCAATAATGTTCCCTTCAAATTCTGCAGTCTTTTCTTTTAGTGCCTCAGGCTTCTTCAGCTCCACCGACTAAAAATTAATTGATTTAGTAAGAGGAATAATCAGCAAATAGATTTTATTGAAATTTTCAGAGGGGAAAATACTTATAATGTTGTCATTTGAGAATTGTGGTAAAAAAATTAAACAAGCTTTTTAATGAGTTAAGAGATTTGTAACTGTATTAAGTGTCAATCTTCCTCTTTGACCTCATCTGAAGAGAACATGGGTAAGAGCCGACGCCATGTGACAGTACACCAGGGTGCTAGGGCTAGACATCCCAGCATCCTCTGGGGACAACGGCCCTCGCCCTTTTAACAGCGACCCTGTGGCTACCCGTACGAAGGGTTCTAGAAAGGCCAGAATTGTACATGAGCAATTAACCAATAGGCATGAAAAATAATAAAATATACAAACTCGAAAATGGTTCTGGTTGCAATTTGAATGATTTTTCCAGTCAAAATGCATGAATGTGTTATTGGCCTCTTTTCTTAGGAATTTTTCTACGGCGCAGCTTTCACTCCTAGAAGTCCTAGGAAATTAAATGGAACGAAATCAGTAATGATTATTGCCCCTGCATTATAAAAACAAAATTGTTGTCATGTGCCAATTTTTTTTGGTACCTAGTGGGAGATTCTGGTCGATTTTGGGAATGTTTGATGCCCGAAACCCCGTCTTCCTGGCCTCAGGACCTCCAATGATCTTGAAGGACGTAATGAGCCCGCAGAAACTTATTTGCGGGAACAAAAGTCTTTTTTTGCAGAGAAAGCACGAACGAACACTCAAAATTCTTGCTCACAATCCACGATCACCTGCTGGATGCTGGATTCTGGGTTTCTGGGTAACTGAACTAAAACTATAAAGTCATACCAACAAAACAAACTAAACGTAATGAAATAAAATAAATTCCACAAAATACTCAAAAATTTCTAATTTTAAGCATCTAAAATTGCATAAAATTGTAATTAAAATTTCATAATCAATTTTCTTGCATTTCAGCAGCGGAAAATTTATAAACTTTACTGCGGTTTTTCTTTGTTAGGTTTTCAACATCTGCAAAGAATTCTAGCTGCCTGTGTTGCGTGTTGCAATCCACATACTAATTTGTATTGTACTAAATACTTTTCAATTTTTTGAAACACGAATCTTGCAAAAAAAATTATTTGGACATTAAAATTAATCTTATATTTCTTTTACTCTTGATGTTAAAAAAAACGGCTAAATTGCGAAAATATTCTTTATAAACACTTTTTTTTTGTTGCAGGACATGAAAGATTGTTTGGCAACGCTGGAGGCACGCACAAATAAGAAGAATGCTACAGGGCAACATTTAATTCGAGACGATGTTTTATTATGACTTTTGGTGGCAGTGTGCGCGCGACAGAAGAGGTAAAAATGGGTCTTGCTTTGCATATGAAAAGGCGCCTAGCCGGGGCACAAAATATTATTTTTAATATCACTTTCGTCACAATGGTTAACTGCACAAAGGCGGTGCAGAGAGAAATGATATTAAAAAAATTTGTGACGACTGTAGCACAATGGAATTCTGTGCTCTTTTCATTTTCCTTGCGCGCCGGAATTTTCCTGCCGAGCTTCAAAAAGCGTTTTCAGGCAGATTCCTGCACGAAAGTGATAAATGAGTGCCACGGATGGTCGTTAACTCATTTTCCATTATTTTATTACCGAAAGTAACAAGCCCACGCTGTAAAATTTCGCACAGAAATTATATTCTTAAAAAAGGTTCAGTCTCGTAAGACAAGCTCAAAAGCCATAGTCTAGTGCAAAAAATCGTTGTCTGGAAGGAAAATTTTTTTACCCCAGTGTTAAACAAGAAAATGATTTTTATCATCATAAAAGTATTCTGAAGTGAATATTGTGAATTAAAATGAATATCTGCATGAAATTTGAACAATTTTCACAAGGTATTGTCAATTTTTTCTATAATTCTTTCTTGAATGAAGAATGGATAATTTTATTCATGTTCAAAAAGAAAGCTCTCTCTTAAAAAACAAAGCAATTGCACTAGATTGATACCGCTATTTAATAAGAAAAAAGAAAATTCTGGAAATGGTCTATAAATGTAATAACATTCGATTCACGTTTTTTTTTTAAATAATGTAAAATCTATACGGCATTTCCTTCCCTGATGGACATACCAAAAGCAACCGCAATGGACCAATCCAAGTCTCGGTTTGCTCCAATTCCTGACACACATGAAGCCGAAATTACACGTTTGTTTTTCTGAAAAGCTGCGATTACAATAATTTGATTTGGACCGCGGCATGGTTCATTTGCGGTGCTCATTCCTCCGCTCTCAAGCCGCCTCCATTTCAAATTAACACCGCAGCGGTTTGCCCGCAACGACGCGCACCTCCAGACGCTGATTACGGTCTGGGAGAAAACAAACGAGCAGTCATTAAGCAGACGGAATGCCCACCAGCGTCACAAGCAGGCCCTCGATTTTTTTTACTATGCCCAACCTTTCGCTGCTTTTTGTCCTTTTGACAAGCGTTGCCCGTCTGACATGAGTAAAGAATCGAAAAACAGGAAAAATTCCATCTTCACGCACGTCTGTTTTTAATCGGATGCGCGCCATCAAGAGGTGATAAATTTCAAGATTAAAACGACTCGACAGACAAGCACGGAGAGTTCGAAAGGTGTCGTAATTTAATTCTGCGCTGGCCTGCGGACTTAATCTATCTGCATAGTAAATTACATAAAAAAGCTGCTGGGCTGTAATAATTTTAAAACAAGCTGCGAAAAGGATCAGGCTGCATTCAAAATGTGTGCCATATTTTATTCTCGTGAAGTTTCTTTATTTAAGGAAATTCTTTTAAAACATATGTGTGACGAAAAGTTGAATAGCCTCATCTCTAACACCTGTGAAATGTCTTTCCATAATCAAACAAAGTGGAGAAAATAATATTTTCACTGCAACTCTTCTCAATTTTAACTTATTTAGATGTTAGTATAAAATTGATTGGATTTTGAGAAAATATTTTATTAAGGAAAATAGCTATTTGTTGTTTAATTAAAAAAGAATCAAATGACGTCTACAAAACGTTAGTTAGTTCATAAATAAATGGCGAAAAATCACTCTGGCTGATTTTTAGCTGACGAGACTAGTTAAATCTATAAAGTTATAATAATTGAGCCTTTCAATAAAAAACAAATAATTTAGAGGATCGAGAGGAATTTAATTACAAGAAAACTTTGACCTTTTAAATCTGACAGAGTTTACGAAACGGCTATAATTTTAGCCCACAAATTAGCACCTATCTCCTGATTGACGTGTTTGTTTATTATTATTATTTTTCGTTTTCTTCAAAAACCTGAATTTTCTGCTCCAATCGGATTGAATTTCCTGAACAGGTCCTGGTCATCAATCATACGGTTGAAGACTCGCCGAGGAGGATATTCAAGGTTAATGAGCTCTCTGGTGGCAATCGAAGCTTATAGTTGAATATGAGAAGCCGATTATTGCTAGAGATTAATAACTCCATCTCGTCAAGCAGGTGTTTGAAGTCGTCAATTATAATTTTTTTTTTTTTGCATTTTCACCACTGTAGCCATTAGTGTCAAATGAGAGGTTTAATTGGTTGCGGAATGAAATGCAAAATTTGCGTCGAGGGAAGAGTGACAGCCGGATTTTCATTATAATTCCACCGTTCAATGCGAAAACTTTTAGAGAGGCGCGCGAAAATTTTGCGCGTCTTCTTTTGCCGGGCGCATCATTCTTCATCTGGTGTTCACCGGGGTGTTAACATTTCTCTGGGATGAACAGGATTTAAAACTTTTCTCATTGCTCATTGTCGCCCGTATTTTAATATAAAATGCGCCAGCCTGCCCGCCAGCTTAACCGCCCTTTCGCACCCTTTCCTTATCTCTAATGCCAAGTAAACTCGCATTAATCGTCTTATCATAACACACTGAACTAGCTCTCTCTCGCCTTCACCGCTGCTGTGTTCGACCATATTTTACAGCGGCATGTCTTCTTCCTTCTCTTCTCTCGCTTGCCGGAAATCGTATTAAAATTTGCTCCGAGCTTTCTCTCGCAAAGACGAAATCCCCTCGCCTCCCTTTGAAATCCACCGGTGCTAATTATAAGAGTAAAATAATGAGGTGGAATCTGATACTTAGGGAAAGCTGCACGAAATAAATTTTTGTTAAATAAAAGTTAAGACAATAATGCTCTCTTTAAAAAAATTGTGATTAAAATATATTTCCTGAAGTCTGGGGTACATTAAAAATTTTTAGAGAATATGCAGCAAAAAAATGAATAAATTGAAAGCATGATTATGAACTTTTATTTCGATTTTTTTTTTACGGAAAAAATGTAGCACTTTATTTGTCCAATTTTTGTGATCTTTTTGCATTTATAAAAAAAATATATAAGGTGGAGCATTGAATTGATAAATAAAACGGCACCGCATTTAAGGGGCAAATATTTTGCCAAAACAGTAGATTTTTCTGCTAAGTAAGATTATTTTTTTAGACCTCCGGGTTTTTATAAAAAGTTTTGGACTGCATGCTTACTTGTAAAGAGGTAATTTTTTTAATTTAAGTATGTGAAAAGTTTGTAGTTTGTGTCGAAATTTTGCTTACTTTACACATACCCAAAACATCATTCAAATTTTGCGGGCGCTTAAATGGGAGGAATAAAAACCAGCATGCTTGCAAAAATTTATGGTTGTTCTTAAAGTTATACACAGCGATATTCATGGAATATTTAGACACCTCAATTCAAGCAAAGCCTACACTTTTCTTCCTTTCATTTCTTAATATTCATTGCGATTATTTTGTCCTTTGAAAGTATCCACTATCTGCATAGCCAAGGCGAAGGTCGCATTTTTTGCACTATTTAAAATATTATGCCAGTGAAGATTACATACCGCTGCTTTTTCGGCAGCATTAAATAATACGTTGAGACATTATAATGAAAGAGCGCACGGAAATCAGGAACCGGTTTGAGCACAGGTCTGAGGCACATATGTGAATATATGATGATTATCCTTGAAGGTGATTCAAGAAATTTGTTATATTTCATTTACAAAAAAATCCCTCAATACGACTTCTTGCCAAGAATTTTTATTCCAATCTTAGATCAATGCCATAATTTATTTTACATCTGGGTGCGTCCAGGAAAGATTTGAGGGTAAATGTTAAAAATTTTTCTTGAAAACATGCCATTCCAATTTTCAAGTATGTTGTTGGGGTGGTCAAGAGGCCTCGCTCACCAAATTTTCAAGTCAAAATAAGGGGTGCTTTTCCGGGAAATCAGATTTTTCCAAAAACAAAAAATATGGAATATCTTTGCTCCTATTGAGAAATTATTAATGATCTTTTCACTTCCAGACGTAACTTTTTACGCCCGACAACTTTTATGTTGATAACTTTTGCGTAGGTCAAAGGTCAAGGTCACTAAATTGCAAATTTCACTTTCTGACGCAATTTTCGCAAAGAAGCACCCCTCAGAAATTTTTCGCAGTATAGGAAAAAATGTAGCCCCAAGTGTGTAGAACAACATCCTTGATTTCCAGAATGGCATTATTTTTAGTTTTTTAATTAATTTTAAATGAATATTAAAAAACAATGAAAAATCGCTTTTCCGCAATAGAAAGTAATTTTCAAACAGCGATAACTCATTTTCTGTTAGAGATACGCAAAAATGTTATAGAACAAAAAGGATTTGTTTTGACTTTTTGCATCCAGCCATGTATTGTTTATACAGGTCAGGTCACTTGGGGTCATTGACCTCGGTGACCTGTGACCTCTAAAAATAATTTGTAGGAAATGAGCTTATTAAAACCATTCCATAAAATAGTTCTTCTTAACTATGTGCCAAATATTCAGTAAACTGCTCTTTAAGGTCACAGGTCACTAAGGTCAATGACCCCAAGTGACCTGACCTGTATAAACAATACATGGCTGGATGCAAAAAGTCAAAACAAATCCTTTTTGTTCTATAACATTTTTGCGTATCTCTAACAGAAAATGAGTTATCGCTGTTTGAAAATTACTTTCTATTGCGGAAAAGCGATTTTTCATTGTTTTTTAATATTCATTTAAAATTAATTAAAAAACTAAAAATAATGCCATTCTGGAAATCAAGGATGTTGTTCTACACACTTGGGGCTACATTTTTTCCTATACTGCGAAAAATTTCTGAGGGGTGCTTCTTTGCGAAAATTGCGTCAGAAAGTGAAATTTGCAATTTAGTGACCTTGACCTTTGACCTACGCAAAAGTTATCAACATAAAAGTTGTCGGGCGTAAAAAGTTACGTCTGGAAGTGAAAAGATCATTAATAATTTCTCAATAGGAGCAAAGATATTCCATATTTTTTGTTTTTGGAAAAATCTGATTTCCCGGAAAAGCACCCCTTATTTTGACTTGAAAATTTGGTGAGCGAGGCCTCTTGACCACCCCAACAACATACTTGAAAATTGGAATGGCATGTTTTCAAGAAAAATTTTTAACATTTACCCTCAAATCTTTCCTGGACGCACCCATCTGAAGATTTTAATTTAGATTACTTTGCGTGTGAATAATGTGCATAGGCTGGAGATGTCTTACTTATTTTTTTTTAATTGTTCTTATTTATTTACTATTTTTGTTAATATAATTAGTTGAGCAACTAGTAATGTTCTTTATCAAAACTATTTAAATTCCTTCCACCAACTAAATCTTGTTTAAATATTGATGGAGATAGATAAATTTTATACCACACTGTGAAGAAAAGACTCACAATGCCTTTTAATGATTTATATTAGACAGACATATAATAATTTAATTTCTATCTTTCATTGTGGATATAAAAATTAAATACCAAAATTATAATATATAAATTTTATATTGCCAAAAAACAAGAAAAATAGTCACACAATCTACTTCATTAATTAAATAAATAATTTTTTTTAAAGATCTCCAAAACAAGTGACACATACGTTAATATAAAATATGTTTATCTGAGTCTTTATTCGCTTGTGACAAAATCTACCCATATAGAATTTTTAATAAAAGCAAGTATTGGACGATAAACTCAGTGGGCCATAAATAAACAGTGTTGCTGGCGTCCACCCGCACACTCTGGCCATTTAATAATACCAAAATCATCTTTCACATTCGCCGTTAGTGCTGCACAAACAAAAGTTCACAAATTTTATTGAAACCAAGGGAGGTTGGCGGGCGAGCAGCCCCTAGCCTGGAACAAAAGTTTCTTCACAACTGCCGGCAGAGACAAATAAAATGTTTCGGTCTTACTCGCCATTATCTCTCTCGGCTGTGCGTGCGCGCCTATATATATATTTACTCTCCAGGGAAATGGCTCACAGTAGTAATAATAATAACAACAACAGCAACAAAGAGAAGCAATTGGCCCGGCCGAGCCGGCGCAAACAACGCTGGGGCTCAAAGTGTTTGGCTCCCGAATGCGCAAGGACCGGCAGCTTGTCGCGAAAATTGGCTCAAGAAAGTCATTCCCGCGCTTCGCGAAATTGACTCAGCGTGACGATTCCAATTCTTTTTTCTCCAGCCGGGCCCTTTGTTTGCTCCAAGTTAATTAGCTGCTAAATAAACGTTCCTTGTAAAAATCCAGTGGGTAGAAGATTAAAAACCCAGCGGGACCAGACAATTAATGCAAACATGTGATAAAAATATACTGCTCTGTCTTCCAGATTTAAATTAATTTTTATTTTTGATTAATATGACATGGCTATGCTGCTGGATTTAATCGAGAGCTACAGAATATGATAATTATTTCAAACTAAAGAATCTCACTAAAAACCAGCTTAAAACTATTATAAAAATAGAAATTTTTTAATTTTTAATAATTTTATATAACTAAAGCGTAAGGGTTCAGAAATTGATTAAAATTTTTTAATAAAATATAATACAAAAACTAAAAAAATCAACAAATTAAATATACTATTTTAATATAAAAAATAACTATGAAAAATATTTTAAATTGTAATTAAAAAAAAAAAAACTGCTGTTTAGTTGTTATTAAAAAAAAATGAAAGTTTTGATAAAAAAAAGCTAATTTGAAGGCAAATAGTTGGCTATTTCTTTACTTGGCTATTATTCATATAAAATTAGCAACTTCAAGTTTATATTTGTTTATTCAAAAAGCGGCGGTAAAAGGTGATAATTATATTAATTTTATCCAAAGATGATCTTGATTTACTCAAGGAAGTAAAAAGGGTGATTTATAAACCGATATTAGTATTATAAAAGACATTACTTTTCATATTCACAGACTTTGCAAATAGGTTTACTGTTTTTCCCATCCCTGATAAATTAGTGTATTAAATTACTAGTCTATAAACGAATTAAAAAGGTCAAAAGTGTCAAAATGATTAAAAATCACTTTTTATCAAAATGATTTTTTTTTTTACTGTTCCAGCATAATCGCGTTGGAAGAGCAAAATGAAATCAACGTAAAAAGAGCCATTTGGAGCTCAATCAGTTGCAGTGGAGGGCCTTAGCAGATAGCGCAGAGGGGCGCCAGGGTGCGCGGAGAACTGCAGTGAGCGACCAATACAGAATTGATTACAAATCTTGGTGTGTTTCCCCAAAGAGTGGTTAAGAAACGAAACGTCACGAGAAAACAGACCCAGCCCGCTCGTTTCGCCTCGGAGTTTTGCGCCGTAAAAAAAGGAGACGAGAAAACAAACAAAACGGGTTGTTTGGCGTCGGCGGGTAAGTACGGCGTGCGAAACTTTCATTTGTGCCTGACCATCCCAAAGGACGAGACAACGGCATTATTCTCGGCATGGACTGTGCCGCTCACCAACGGCTCGAGATTAGCTTTTTCAGCTTACAAGCCCATTCAAACTTATGACAACTTTCCGATTACTTCTTTGCCTGCTCTTTCCCACTCTGGCTGCTCGTGTGTGATATCGCTGAAATTTGCTCAAGACGCGAACGTTGTTTCGTGTATTTTTTCACTTTTTCCTAAAAATCGATTTTGAAACGGCGGAGCCAATATTTTATCATTGAATATGAATTTTATAAAACTAAATTTGGATTTTAGAAGAAAATTTTTAATATTAATGGCAAAAGAAGCGAGCGATTGAATTGTATAGCTTGTTTCGAACGAGGCTAAAAGTTTGGGGCAATTTCAAAATCTTCTAAATTAAAATAAAGCAGTTTTTTATTTGAATCTTTTGAATGACGTATATTTCAAATTGATTGAATGTGATTTTATTTACATCTCTGTATAGCACAGTTTAAATTTTTAGTTAATTAAACAAAGGTCAATTTGACCTTCGTCATCTATAAAAGAGCAATTTTTTGCTTTTCGAGTCCATCGTCGGATTCATTTTCAATATGTAAGAAGCCCTATAAGGAGATGGAGAGCAATTTAAAATTCAACAATATAAAAGGTTAGACTAAAGATTTTTTTCAGAACCAAATTGAAAATGTTTACACCGACAATTTCATCAAATAGATCGCCTTTATTGTTTTATTTCCTTTTTAAAATTTTATTCCAGTTATTTTGCATTGATTCAATTAGCTTACATATGCGAAACGGCCACTGCAAAAAGTAGCATTTCAAGCATCCGCTAATTATTCAGTTCACCATGTTGGCATTTGATACCCTGCGGCGAAATATTCGATCTTGCCATGTTGCCATACCTCGCCCGTCCGCTCCCTTTTCAGAGAGAACCCACGCTCGAACTTTTACAATCAGTCAGCAGCGACTGCCGCTTTTCATTCAATACCATTTTTTTTTTATAACTTCTCTGTTGCGCGCTCGCTCGGCTCACATAATTAGTCATCCGCTCGCGAGATGATTGTGTTTGTTCATTACGAGGCAGCCCGAGCGTTTAATCAAACACTAATCGATTCCTATCGACGAAATGTATAATAAGGTTTCGTGATTAATCGTGACTGCGGCGAGTGCGTTGATCAAAACCGCCGCGAACAACGTCACTTCGGGCGTTTCTGCTTTTGCCGGGGATCCCGGGAGAGCGACACGAATTTGCAAGCGCAGGTATTTTTTTGCGCATGACGACAAAGTTCGTCAACAGTAAATTATATTGAATTGATGATGAGGTCTTGTTTCCTACCTGCTGCAATTTCGCTGCGTCATGCTGGTCTGAAAAATTGACAAGTAAAAAAATAATAATAATATCCGCCGCGCGAAGTTTTCCTTGCAAGTCATTATTTCACTTATAACAACCGATGAAAAACGTGTTTTTAAAAATTTCAAATATCCAGCCTGCCGTCTTAAATCTATTCATTCTATTGAACTTAAAATATAACAAACAAAAAGATTATTTTATTTGAACTTTCTTTCTTAATTAATACAACTCTCTCTTGGTTTTCAAGTGAAATTTGATCCTATAACGATATTATTTTTGCAAAAAATATTTTTTCGTCAGTCAAATTTTTGGATATTGAATGGTGGTAAAATAATTAATAATTAAAAATATGTTTTAAAGAATCTAATTAAAAAAAATAAGCAAATTTCAGGGATAAATTTGGAAAAAAATAGGGATGTTAATAAAATGGAACCAAACCTAATTTTTTTCTTGACAGGACTGTTTCCAGACTATAGTTATAATGTTTGTTGGAGTTCATTGTGTGGGAAGAAAACACGCATGGGAAAATGCTCTGGCTCTACATTTATATCAATTAGCAGTGACACTTTCCAGAATCATTATTTAAATATGGGCTGATATGAAATGATTATAATTATATCAAGAACTTCATAAAAAAAACATTAAATAGATATAAGCTTTTGAAAATGTTAAACATGGTTATTTGCACCTTCAATGTATGTATGTTTCATCGCTTATACAAGTGAAGACTCTTCTGCAATCGCAAAAGTGCTTTTTAAGACAAGCAGAACAAATCACCCAAGACAATGGGCCGTCTCTGAAAATAATAAATTACAGGTGGAATTTTCTGCGTACTCACAAAAGTACATATCAATTTGAGCGTCCGATGGTTCCTATCTCTAAAATGTCAAAAGGTCAAACTCACAACTTTTGCCTTCACATGTGGTCATGTGGGCGACTTTGTGCGAACTGCTTTGCAAGTACATATTATGTATGACCATCACATAATTCCAAATGACCGCACCCATCAATTTTTGATCCTGATTGATGAGCGAGCGTTCAGATGGTACGCGATCTATTTTTATTCATCCTTACCATCTACGCTTTCAGAAATTACAATCGTATTTAAGACAGGCAAAAAAGTGTCTTTTCACTTATTTTTTTAATTGCCTCGCTTAAAATCGTTATAATTATATCGAACAATTTCGTAAATTTGATCAAAATATTTGAGTGTAAAATCTACTTTTTTTAAGTAAATAATGTTCTTTTAAAAGATTCTTGTAATATTTGTAGTTTTGACAAGTATTTTAGTGTTAAATTTTTACTTGATAAAAATCATTTTTTTTTTTTTTAAGATATTCTTTATTTTTTAAAAATTGTATATCTTTAGTAATGATGTAAAAAATATACACATTTTTTTGTGCTGAACAAAGTAAAAGATCTTTTAAGGAAAGCGGTTAATTGTTCTCCTTTTGTGAATGAAACTCCATTTACAAGTGCCCAAGTATGGAGAAGACACTCCAAAGTTTGACCCGGAGGAATCGCTTTGTGCTGTTGCGCTTTCTCAAAATAGAGGAGCACAAAGAACGCCGGTGTGTTGATCTCATTAAGAGAGATGTCTGGCGGGAGATATTTACAAATTTAATAGAGACGAGATACAAGCGTAGCTCCTAGTGCGACTCGTGAGAGAATTTCTTTTTAATGATAACGGTGTGGCCATATCGCAGCTGCGGAATGTTACAAATCATTCTTTCTCATTGTTGCAGCGGCGCACGAGAGATGTGTTGGTTTAATATGCGACGCTTTTTCCTGCCAGAAATGTACACCGTGACTTGCTGATCTTTTAGCCTTGCTGATTTACAGTAGAGACTCTTCTTCATCGCCAGCACTTTTATTTGGTCGGTGTGTTTATCTTGTTATTACCGCTTCGCCACTTTCCTTCCCAATCGTCCAATAAAATTCATTGCGCACCCAAGGTGTAATAATGCGACGGCTGCAATCCTTATTTGGCGTTATGATGAATTATCGATCTGCTTGGAGCACCAAAACATTAAATAACGAATCAGGAAAATGATAAATAAAATCTGCGTGTGAAACTTATTTTGCTATGAAAGCTTACAGAGATTGTTTATTTAATATTCATAAAAAAAGCGGAAAAACAAAATCGTCCAACCTTCAGCAAATTTTTGTTTAAAGTGTAATGTACACATGACATATTTAATTTTTAACAATATATTATTTTGCTCCGAAGAATATTTAATTGGAAAAAAGGAGTGAAATCGTCGTCTCGGAACGTAATTCCACGTCAAGGCGATTAGTCACAGTACTAATTTAACAATTTCCCGTTTCGAGTGGTTTCTTTGGGTTTTCAATTCTCATAAAAAATTAATTTCAATTGGAATTGTTTGCTTTTCTTCTTCAGGAATGAATTAATAAAAATATATTTAATTGCATTGATATGGTGTATTTATTTTGTTTTTTTACGAAACGAGAACATCTAAAAATTAAAAGAAAAGCAAATAATGGTAGGGAATTTGGAAAATAACATGATTGAAATTGTCATTTTTAATACCTAGAATCTACTGATTGTATTTTTATTCATATCCAGTTTATTTAAAAAAAAAATTCTGGCTAGGATAGCCTTCAAACTGGATCAATGCTTCTCTGAATAAATTTTTTATCATTGAAATTTTTTTCCACTTTAAAAATGTTACACAATTATTGGAATTGAAATCCATTAAATATCATTGTTCTAGTTATCCCTCTAACGTCCGTCACATATTGTTAGTAGAGGCCCAATCAAATTGTGCCATTTCCCTCCCGCAGCAGACATATTCATCATTTTATATTCACACAGCTGGAATATGCAGCAGTATCAACAGGTAAAGCCAAATTATAATATAATATTTATTTAATATCAATGCATAATTATCTTCGTTTTAATCAAATTTTTAAGAATCAATTTTATTTTGTCACCGGAACCAAATAAATAAATAATAAAATTGAATGCATTTTTTTTTTTCAAATTTGATATTTTAACTTGACTAACATTTTATAATTCTTCTCAGGTGTCACAATTCGTTTACTAATAGATACATTTTTTTGCCAATATTTTCAGAACTGGTTGCTTCTGTTGGTGTCTGCCTGCTTCGTTTCGTGCGTTGAAATCGGCGCAGCCGGGAATGTGGCACGGAAGCACAACGACAGCAACGGCCATGAGGCAGCGGACGCTGACGCCGAAACCTTCAACAAGACCGAAGTCAACGTCAAAAGTATGCCCGTGCAAAAAGGCAAAGTCGACGAGCAAAGTCACAAGCCCATCTCGGAGAGAAAATCGCGAGTTAATAACGCGTTGAACACAATCGGGAAGTTATTAAAAACTAATCCCCTGAAAACCATCAGCAACACAATTAAAAACGTCATCAATCAGAACAAAAGTAACAAGAAAAGCAATAAAAAAGGAGCTAATAAGGCGCGGGCCAGCGCCACGATTCAGTCGAACAATGGAGACTCGGGAGTTACAACTGACGCACAACCACCTGAAACTGGAACTAAACTGGCAGGCGTTGTGGTCGACGGTGGAAAATCTGCAAATCAGTCGGGAAACACTGGCGAGGAATTCCCAGCGTACGGAGGTGATTATTCAAACGTGGATGAAAGTCCCGTAATCTACGAAGACAATCCTACAACGCCTCCGAAAAAAGGCAAAAAGCAAGGCGGTAAGAAGAAGAAGAAGCATGGCAAATTCAAACATAGTGGATATAAGCACAACCAGGGCAAGAATACGGTTCTAATAACAACACCTGACCCTGCTGCTGAGTATGCTTAAAAATTGCGGTGAGCTGGAGTTTCCTTTAAATATTTTGTAATATATTGAACTGTAATTGACATAACATTTATAATTAAACAATCATTCAATATACTAAATTTTTAATCGTTTTACTAAAGTGTATTGTTATTTGTAAATTAAAATAAGAAAATTGTCATATAAAAATCAACTTTATAAATTTTCGTTACATCTATTTAATTTTTATGGTAGATTATTTTTAATTGATAGTCAAATTAGTCCATTTATATTTTATAACTAAAATTTTAATCTAATTTATATCTTTTCGGAATTAATTTCACTAAATCGTATCTCAGTCCTTATTTAACACTGGAATAGTGAAGCAATTGTAGAAGTTTCAATATAAGAATTTAACCTAAATGACATTTTCGAATTTCGCACTTATTGCAGCTGCCCTTCTAATAATACACGTGCAATTGAGTTATCTAACAGCCCCAAATACAAGTGGCGTCTCCCCTATTGTACATGAATGCTTCTGCAATATATAACAGATTGATGCCGTCGCAGTCACAAAAGGGTGGCAGATGTGCGAGTTTTCTAAATGGACACGACAATGTATTACATTTTTAATTGCAGTGCTGCTGTATGCAAGCTAATTGTAAGTTACAATGGTACTTAGAATACATGATCAAATTTTGTAAATATCAGTAAAAGTTAATTATCATAGACAAGTGAATTTACTTGTAGATTATCTATTTACTTATAGATTGTCTATAATTATACTCAATATTTTAATGTCCCTGTTACATAAATTTTATGATTCAGCGTTTAATAGTTAGAGAAACCTTAACTGTATTCTTTTTGCAGTCTCGCAATATTTGGATTAAATAGATACAATTTTTCATACAGATGAATGATGAATTTCAAATCATATTTTAGTGATTTAATTTTATATGATAATCTATTTCTAACTCTATTATCATTACAAAAAAATTAACCATAAATAAAGGCCTAAAGGAGGGCTTTTTACGTCCGCGTTCAGTTATCCTGGGCTAGGGTGAGCTTTTTGATCTCTCTTTATCAGAAATGAGTACATTTTGGTATATTTAATATAAAATTTAAAAAAATGAATACAAATTAAAGATGGTGTAAAAGCTAACAGGGACCTTTGAGTGGATGCAAAAAAATCTGAATTGAAAATGTTTATTACAAAATAATTCATTCGGTGTAAAATTTCTATTGCATCAATAATCGAAATCAATAATTTTTGCATGCAAGGTCAAGTGAAGCGCTTTTTATGCATCGCGAATTTGCGCAATGCGCCGGGCGACAGGTGCCGTGTCAGTTGATTAAGCCGAGCGCGCGCGGTCGACTCTCTTCGTATTCGCGTGTGCTTTTAATTCGCGCGAAGAGCAAGTTCGCTGGGGCGCAAGAGACACCGGCATTCATCTGCAGCACTTGTCACGTGGTTTGCGGTGCAGATGCACTCGACACAACAAACGCGAAAATAAAGTGGAAAGCTAGCGAGATGGATTAAACGGCGCAAAGTTCAGCGTGTGTTGTTGTCGTGGTGTCGCCTGCCTGCCTGCCTGCGCCTGCAAACTATTGCACTCTCGCACTCAATTCACTTGGAAATAATTTCTTGTGCACACGGCTAAAGCTCCGGTGTCACTTTTATCATTTCAAGTCATCTCAAAAGCGCACCGCGTCTTCCAGCAAGTCATGATTGCTTTGCTTCCGTGCACGCCTCTGGAAAGCGCAGCTCATAATAATATTGAATGTACACTCGACTGCAGGAGAGCATTCAGCAAAAAGCAATTAAAGATTTATGGTATTCAGTTTATGGGTCATAAATTTTAATTTCATATTAAATTCAAAAAGTAGTAATAGTACAGTGACTACAGACAGAGCATTTAGTTGATATAAAAAAAAAAATTAAAAAAAATTCATTATAAAATAAGCTGTAAAAAAAATTTAATTTCGCATGACTTCATTAAATTTAACTTTCAAATTTAAAGTTTTTGCTCTAAATTCATTTATTGAATTAAATAATGTTCCTTTTATTTTTGTCCCAAATAATTGTAATAAGTATGCAACCTGCATTACTCTGATGACAAGAAGTTGCCTATATTCTAATTTTCGTATAGTTGATCTCTTTAAAATTAAATCTAGATCTAGTATGCATATTTTTTTAAATCATTGAGCTACTTTTATGTTTCTTAACAGGAAGCAAGCAAAGGTTTGTTAAAAATTTTATTTCAGCTATTTTTACTTTTTACATTTCTCTCTGATTTCAAAGCCATCAGAGCCTTAACACCCAAGCTATTGAGTTGACTGTTTACACTTCAAAGCACACACAACTAGAAACGTTTACTTTTTTTATTTTGGAATCTAGGAAAGTGTCGGGTCGGGAACGTGGTAAAAGATTAAAGAATTATTAAGCGATGGTTGTAAGCCCGAGGCGGATTGATGAAACATTTACACAAACGCACGCACACGGCGCACAGAGACAAACGCGCGCGTTCACACTTCCAAATATTTACTCCGCTCTTCGAAAATAAACGACGGCTGAATTGGATAGAGAGATGGAGAGATGAGAGAGGTACGCAGAGGCGGATTAAGGACGCGCTTTATTTTAAAGCAGCGTGAATTTGTTTGCCACCGAACTCTCTCGCAAGCTGACGATGAGTTGCACCTTAACAGCAATCAACGCGAGAGCCACGCAAACCAACGCAGTTCGGTGATGGAGAGGAATCGCTATCAAGAAATGCCAATTATGGGAGCTTAATAGTTCACCAATGAATCTCACTGGGTAATTTAGTTTTGTTTAAAAAAAAAAATATAGTTATCTAATCTCATCTACGTCGCTGCAATTTCACGATTTCAAATTAATTAATTAATACTTATTTTTTCGATGACGAAATTGTAATAATATTTTAAACATTCTAATAGTAAGTAAATTGTGAACATACAATAGCACACAATAATTCACTATATATTTATTAATACTGCGACAACCAGTGTTTTCGCAATTATTTTAGATTATTTATAATACTTTTAAAATTTTCGTTCTGTTAAAATTGAGTAGAAGAAAAATCTAAAACAAATTTTAACTAAAAAAAAATAAAAAAAATAAAGATTTAATGTTTTTACCGCTAATAAAAATAATGCTTTTAAAAATATATTTTTTGTGTTTAATTTAAAAATTTAAGTTCTTGTATGTATTAACAACAATGATTTAAAAAATTAAATGCTGGCCGTTATAAGTAAAAAACTTAATTTCATTATTATCTTTACATAAATTTAAATATAAACCATGTTTCATTATAAGTCTGCTAAACTGATATATACAATCTTGACTTGACATGTATATATTTGTACCTACTTTGAAGACTAAATCCACAGCAATCGATCAGTGTGAAAATCGACAACCGACTATGACGACTATGCACGAACGTAAACCTTTTTTGGTGCCTGCTGGGCGCAAGGCGGAAATCTTTTGTGTTCTTTATCTCTTGCGAAATTTCCAAGAGCCCGCAAGTGCAGGGAAATACCCTGAGTTTGCTTTGCATATAAAACATTGTGGCGCTCTCTCTTTTTTTAGAGGAAGCAGTGGAGGCCTCGATGTATGTTTTATGTACTCAATATTACATATTCATGGTGTACCTCATAGCCCGCAGTGAAAAATACAAGACGACGGAAATAGTGGAGGAGGAGAAAAAGGCATATTGGAATATCAAAGCGAACGTTCGATTGAATATATACCCAAGAGTAAAGAGTAAATCATAACAAAATAATACGTCAGTTATGATTACAGAAAATATTATTTGTTAGAATTTGGCGGAGTTTGGCACTAAACTTAATTATGTAATCAATGTCAGATAACATTGATAAATATTTACATACTAGTAAGAGAAATTAAAAAAATTTAAAAAGGATATATTTAAATTATTGAAATATAAAATATACCATTAGTTTAAATGGTTTAAATAAAAATGTACCTACTTCATAAAAACTTATTTTGTCTAAGCCTATTATAATTATAGAAAACTAATTCATTTTAAATTGTTCATTACTTAAAATAATTTCAATAATTATTTTAAACAACACAAAAATACTCAAAAATTTAATTTATCACATAGCTATGATAGTTTTTAGTGGTGATTTAAATTTTTTTAACTTTTATACTTTTTCTTCATTATTGTAATTTTGAAAATATGTTGATCTTATTCATTTAATTCTAACAACGACCCTGCGGTTATTCGCCCTGGCTTTACGCTATCGCATTAGCCAGAACCGGGGAAGCAGGAAATTCTCGTTGCCAGCACATCAAAGAATCATAACTCTGCGGGCGCTAGATTTAATTTTTGCAATTTCGGTCCCAACGTGTTGGGTCTCGACAAAGGCGCCGCCGTCCGGCCTGAAAACGGTGCGTCTCGGTCGAGTGCGGCGACTGCACTTAAATAATTCATTTTGCCCACTCCGGTATGCAAATTAAGTCATAACTCTTTAACGTTTTGTTTTATGGATGCCTTTATGGTCGTATTTATGCGGGATATAACGCAGGGAGCGCCGCGCATCCACTCCCTCGCCAAATTCTCCACCGAGAGTGCGGCATGGAAGCTCTACTACTTCTACCTATTCTACATATCTACCTATCCTAATTATAAAACGCGTTTTGATGGAACAGAAGGAAATAAATTTTGCTCAATGCTGCCATCAATTCCAATCTTCAACTACCATAAGCAAATGAGATGAATTAATATTTTATAAAATTTCTCCAAGGCAAGGGACAGTACTAATTTGTATACAAATAAAAGTATGCCAAATATCAAAATTGTATCTTCATCTTATTTTTAGTTGTGTTGCAGAGATCAATTTCAGAAATTGAAAAACGTGGATTTTTTTATGAAATTTAAATAAATCTCGGTTGCAGGGAGTACAAATTTATTCATCAAATCAGGCAAAAACAATTAGAGTCGACTAGCTTAATTGTTGCTCTTGACTTGGTAATTTTTGACACCTGCAAGGGGTCCTTCAGAAATCGAGATTTAGTCTTTTCAAGCGTATTCAAATCATTAAATATAAGGTCAAATTGCCTCAATTCAATATGGTTGCTATTGG